ATTAAAAAAAAAATAAATACAAATAAAAAAATGAATACAGAAAATTAAAAAAAATGAGTAAATTTTTTTGGCACATTCCAGGTGAGTTATTGGTTAAAAATACTCTTTACTTATTTTCAAAAAAAATTGGTTTAAAAAATCCACGTTTATTTCATGAAAATTATTTTCAAAAAATTGGTTAAAAATTATTTTCAAAAATTGGTTAAAAAATCCACGTTTATTCCATGAAAATTATTTTCAAAAAATTGGTTTAAAAAATCCACGTTTATTTCATGAAAATTATTTTCAAAAAATTGGTTTAAAAAATCCACATTTATTTCATGAAAATTATTTTCATAAAAAATTGGTAAAAAGTTCACGTTTATTTCATGAAAATAGTTTTCAAACAATATTTTTAAAAATCCATATTTGGCTCATAATAACTATTTTCCAAAAATTTTATTAAAAAATCCACGCTTAGATTATAAAAATTATTTCCAAAAAATTCACGTTTAATTTATAAAAATTATTTTCAATACATTTTGTTTGAAAAATACACTTTTGGGTCAACAAAATTATTTTCAAAACATTTGGTTTAAAAAAACACGATTGGGTCAAAAAAATTATTTTCAAAAAAAAAAATTATTTAAAAAACTCACGTTTATTTCATGAAAATTACTTTCAAAAAATTTGGTAAAAAATTCATTTTTATTTCATGAAAATAGTTTTCAAACAATATTTTTAAAAATCCATATTTAGCCCATAATAACTATTTTCCAAAAATTTGATTTAAAAAATCCACGCTTAGATCATAAACATTATTTTCAAAAAATTCACGTTTAATTTATGAAAATTATTTTCAAAACATTTGGTTTAAAAAATACACGTTTGGGTCAACAAAATTATTTTCAAAACATTTGGTTAAAAAATACACGTTATTTTCAAAAAATCCACGTTTGGTTCATAAAAATTATTTTCAAAAAAAAATTTGGTTTAAAAAATCCACGTTTATTTCATGAAAATTACTTTCCAAAAATTTGGTAAAAAATTCACTTTTATTTCATGAAAATAGTTTTCAAAAAATATTTTTAAAAATCCATATTTGGTCCATAATAATTATTTTCCATAAATTTGATTTAAAAAATCAACGTTTAGATCATAAAAATTATTTTCAAAAAAATTCAGGTTTAATTTATGCAAAATTATTTTCAAAACATTTGGTTTAAAAATTCCACGTTTGAGTCAACAAAATTATTTTCAAAAATTCCACGTTTGGTTCATAAAAATTATTTTCAAAAAAAATGGTTTAAAAAATACACGTTTGAGTCAACAAAATTATTTTCAAAAAATCCACGTTTGGTTCATAAAAATTATTTTCAAAAAAATTTGGTTTAAAAATTCTACGTTTGGTTCATAAAAATTATTTTCAAAAAAAATTGGTTTAAAAATTTTACGTTTGGTTCATAAAAATTATTTTCAAAAAAATTTGGTTTAAAAAATCCACGTTTGTTTCATAAAAATTATTTTCAAAAAAATTTGGTTTAAAAATCCACGTTTATTTCATTACTTTCAAAAAATTTGGTAAAAAATTTCTTGAAAATAGTTTTCAAACAATAATTATAAAAATCCATATTTGGTCCATAATAATTATTTCCCATAAATTTGATTTATCCACGTTTAGTTCATAAAAATTATTTTCAAAAAATTCACGTTTAATTTATGAAAATTATTTTCTAAACATTTGGATTAAAAAATCCACGCTTAGATCATAAAAATTATCTCAAAAAATTCACGTTTAATTTATGAAAATTATTTTCAAAACATTTGGTTTAAAAAATCCACGTTTGGGTCAACAAAATTAATTTAAAAAATTGACTTAAAAGATCACGTTTGCTTCATCAAAATTATTTTTAAAATATTTGGTTTCAAAAAACCAACGTTTGGTTCGTAAAAATTATTTTTAAAAAATTTGGTTTAAAAATTAAATGTTTACTTCATGAAAATTATTTTCAAAAAATGTGATTAAAAATCAACGTCAAATTTATGAAAATTATTTTCAAAAAAAATGGTTAAAGTAATTATAGTTTATTTCATGAAAGTTATTTTCAAAATATTTTTTTTTAAAAATCCACATTTATTTCATTAAAATTATTGTGAAAAAAATTAAAATATAAAATTATTTAAAAAGAAAAATTAAAAAAAAAATTGAAAATTTATTCGAAAAATCTTTCTTAACAATTCACGATTGGATTATGAAAAAAATTCAAAAATTTAAAGACAGTTCGGTCCTTGAAAATTTATCTTAATCATCTCTTAAAAAACCTCTTGTTTAATCCTTAAAAATCGGTTCAATATCTGTTAAAAATGTATGTTTGGTCCTTGAAAATATTTGTAAAAAAATCTTGATATTGGTTCTTGAATTTTTTTTTCGGAAATACCACTTTTCGTTTTTAAAAACCTTCACGTTTGGTCCTTAAAAAAACTTTTCAAAAATTCCACAATTAACCCTTGAAAAACGGTTCTGAAAACGCACATTAGATCCTTGAAAACATGTCTAAAAAATCATCCTTTGGTCCCTGAAAAAAATGGAAATTCCAAGTTAAGCCATTGAAAAAACTATTCACAAAAAACAGTTTTATCCTTGAAAAAATCAGTTTCAAAAATCCACATTTGATCCTTGAAAATATCAGTTTAAAAAATCCACATTTGATCCTTGAAAAAATCATTTTAAAAAATTCACATTTGATCCTTGAAACAATCATTTTAAAAAATCCACATTTGATCCTTGAAAAAATCATTTTAAAAAATCCACGTTTGATCCTTGAAAAAATCAGTTTAAAAAATCCACGTTTGATCCTTGAAAAAATCAGTTTAAAAAATCCACGTTTGATCCTTGAAAAAATCAGTTTAAAAAATCCACGTTTAATCCTTGAAAAAGTCAGTTTAAAAAATCCACGTTTAATCCTTGAAAAAATCAGTTAAAAAAATCCATGTTTAATCCTTGAAAAAATCAGTTTAAAAAATCCACGTTTGGTCCTTGAAAAAATCAGTTCAAAAAATCCACGTTTGGTCCTTGAAAAAATCATTTTAAAAAAATCCACTATTGATCCATGAAAAAATCATTTAAAAAAATCCAAGTTGGGTCCTTGAAAAAATCATTTTAAAAAATCCAAGTTTGGTCCTTGAAAAAATCATTTTAAAAAAATCCACTATTGATCCATGAAAAAATCATTTAAAAAAATCCAAGTTGGGTCCTTGAAAAAATCATTTTAAAAAATCCAAGTTTGGTCCTTGAAAAAATCTGTTTAAAAAAATCCACGTTTGGTCCTTGAAAAAATCTGTTTAAAAAAATCCACGTTTGGTCCTTGAAAAAATCAGTTTAAAAAATCCACGTTTGGTCCTTGAAAAAATCAGTTTAAAAAAATCCACGTTTGATCCTTGAAAAAATCATTTTAAAAAATCCACGTTTGATTGTTAAAAAAATCAATTTAAAAAATCCACGTTTGATTGTTAAAAAAATCAATTTAAAAAATTCAAGTTTGATCCTTGAAAAAATCAGTTTAAAAAATCCACGTTTAATCCTTGAAATAATCATTTTAAAAAATCCACGTTAAAAACATTAGTTTAAAAAATCCACGTTTGATCCTTGAAAAAATCAGTTTAAAAAAATCCACGTTTGATCCTTGAAAAAATCAGTTTAAAAAAATCCACGTTTGATCCTTGAAAAAATCAGTTTAAAAAAATCCACGTTTGATCCTTGAAAAAATCAGTTTAAAAAATCCACGTTAAAAACATTAGTTTGATCCTTGAAAAAATCATTTTAAAAAATCCACGTTTGATCCTTGAAAAAATCATTTTAAAAAATCCACGTTTGATCCTTGAAAAAATCATTTTAAAAAATCCGCGTTTGGTCCTTGATGAAATCAGTTTAAAAAAATCTACGTTTGATCCTTGAAAAAATCAGTTTAAAAAATCCACGTTTGATCCTTGAAAAAATCAGTTAAAAAAAACACATTTGTTCCTTGAAAATATCAATTAAAAAAACACGTTTGGTCCTTGAGAAAATCAGTTTAAAAAATCCACGTTTGAATCAGATTAAAAAATCCACGTTGATCCTTAAAAAAATCAGTTTAAAAAATCCACATGTGATCCTTGAAAAAGTCCATGTTTGATGCTTGAAAAAGTCCATGTTTAATCCTTGAAAAAATCAGTTTAAAAAAATCCACATTTGGTTTTGATCCTTGAAAAAATCAGTTTAAAAAAATCCACATTTGGTTTTGATCCTTGAAAAAATCAGTTTAAAAAAATCCACATTTGGTTTTGATCCTTGAAAAAATCAGTTAAAAAATCCACGTTTGATCCTTGAAAAAATCAGTTAAAAAATCCACGTTTGATCCTTGAAAAAATCAGTTAAAAAATCCACGTTTGATCCTTGAAAAAATCATTTTAAAAAATCCACGTTTGATCCTTGAAAAAATCATTTTAAAAAATCCACGTTTGATCCTTGAAAAAATCAGTTTAAAAAATCCACGTTTTGTTTGGATCCTTAAAAAATCAGTTTAAAAAAATCCACGTTTTGTTTGGATCCTTAAAAAATCAGTTTAAAAAAATCCACGTTTGATCCTTGAAAATATCATTTTAAAAAATCCACGTTTGATCCCTGAAAAAACCAGTTTGGTCCACGTTTGGTACTTGAAAGAATCATTTTAAAATATCCACATTTGATCCTTGAAAAAAATCATTTAAAAAAATCCACGTTTGATCCTTGAAAAACCCAGTTTGGTCCACGTTTGGTCCTTGAAAAAATTAGTTAGAAATCCACGTTTGGTCCTTGAAAAAATCAATTGAAAAATCACGTTTGATCCTTGAAAAATTAGTTAAAAATCCACGTTTAGTCCTTGAAAAACACAGTTTAAACAATCCACATTTGATCCTAGAAAAAAATTAGTTCCTCAAGAAAATCTGAAAACTTAACTCTGGTATGGTCATTTAAAATCCACATTTGAATAAAAATTCTTCCATTGTGTTACTATATATTTATGTATATACTTATATACAAAATTCATTTATTAAAAAAAGAAACATATATACACAAGGTTTACATAAATAAATACTTAAGGGCTAGGTATGTTTAAAATTATTCCAAGGGTAAAATTAGAAAAAAAAATATTTAAAAAATTTAAAAATATAACACGGTTTGATCGGTTTACAAAATATTGTTGTCCGTTGGTGGAACCAGGTCTGGGAGTTTCAAGTTAGATAAAACCAAAGTTTTTTATAAAATCGATATCCCACTTTGGTGTTTTTTAATATCAATGCTATACCCCTCTTAACCCCCCAGTCCCCCTGGACAACTCAGTTTCCATTAAAATGTCCCCTTTTTGTTCTAGGTATATCACATATAATTCTCTTGGTTTTTCCCATCTCTGTAATGGTTCCTATGGATCCAACTGCCTGGCAGTCCCGTCCATAGTTTCGAATGGAAAATTCCTGTCTTCTATGATTTTTTTTAAATTCGATCTGCTTAGATACGTTGTAAAGAATGCCGCCCGGGCTGTGCGGGCCCTGGGTGGCCTGTATGTGGGTAAATCTATAAAAACTGGCTCATAATCGGGATTTTCCGGTTTCAAGGCCCGTGATTCAGTCATTACTATATTTGTGTAATATGTTGGGGAGTCTTGTGACTCCTCTGCAATCTGCTCCACCTGAGGAGTGGCCACAACCCCTGCCGGCCTGAGGAGGGCGAATATATTTCTCTGTTCCCGTTGTGACTCTGAGTTGGCACGTTTCCTTTTCTGGGCAGTGCTAGAAAGTGCCCGTTCCTCAAAACGTGGTATGTAGCGGGGTTTACGTGTTTCCGATTTAACAACCTCTGGATTTGCGGGGCCCACATTGAAACCAAAGAAACGTGGTGCCTGTACCGATATCAAGGGTAAAATTGTTTCTCTGGCATAACGTTCGGCCCTTTGCAATAACTCCCCCAAACGGAAGGGGAACAATTGCACCGTCACTGTCTCCTCTTCGGCATTGGATTTGGGTCTCTCCTGTTTGTTGAGAGGGGATATTTTTATAATCTCGAATTTATCCGGCCTATCTGTTATGGGTTGGGGTTCCGGCAAAATGATTTCCTTGCCTTTCTTGACTCTGGGTGTGGTGGCCTTCAGTACCGGCTCCATAATTTCACCCACCCCCGTGAAATCATTTAAATTACGACCTCGATTGACATTCAAACGTCTATCGTTCAGTATGGGTTCGAAAATTTCCTCTGGCTGCTCGGAAAAACTGCGACTTGTCTCTCCCTGTTCCTTATCCAAGGAGTTACCCTCCAATATGGGTTGCCATGGCAAATCTCCATTTTCCTCCAGGGTGAAAGTTTGATTTTCACCCAGCTTAAAACTGGAACCCAAGTTGAGGAAATTCTTGTGCTTCTTAATGGTCTCAATGGCATCGGCATCTGCCTCGGGTGCCTGTACACTTTCCTGGGCAGTGGAGTCGGCAGGTCCTTCGGTTATGGGTTTTGAGGTAAACGCTCCATATTCATCTTGATTGTCTAGCTCACAATTGCCGGGTTGTAGCTTCAAGCGCACCGGACTGCCTGTGGAGAGTTTGGTATTGGGTTTACACAGGGAATGGCTACGTCCATAGCTGTCGGTTAGGATTACTTTGTCTATATCCCAATGGGGTAGACCCTTGGAGAGCCAGCCGCTATAGTGTTTGTAGTTTAGGCTTAGGGTGGTTGGAAAGCCCAGAGCTGGATGAGGCACGATTATTTTTGAGACTATGTCACCGGCAAAGAATTCCGAATCGTCTTTTCTGAAAATTAAGAAAAAAATGAGAGATTATTAAAATTTGGATTTTTTTGAAGAAAAATCAGAGGTTTAAGAATCCGTACAATTTTGAAGATCCGTTATACAGGGGCTATACCTATAGTGCCTTGTTTATAGCCTTCACCATACACAGTGTGGCAAGGTCCCTACATTCGGTATTTTGATGATATTAGCAACATTTTTCAATGAGAATTGTATCTATGCCAGATATATTGTCTGTGGAGGTCCAGGTCTTTGTGTAGGTCCCATTTATCAGTACCTCCTTATATTAGGTATTTTAACGATTTTAGGTACAATGTCCACCGAAGTTGTTTAAAATTTCGTATTTAGAATTAGTAATGGGTACTACAGCCTATGACAGAAAATTGTCTATGCAGGTACAGGTCATCGCATAGGCCCCATATATCAATACCTCCCTATATTCGGTATTTTGGAGGAATCGAAATAAAAAATTTCACTTGATTTGTTTATAAATTGGTGCTGAAATCTTTAATATTTTGAAAATCGGAAGGCATAGTTATATGGGACCTATGCCAAAAAGTGGACCTACATTGAATATATTTTGCGAAGAGTTAAACCACCTACCGAGAACCTCAAATATGAAATTACAATTGATTTGGCTTCAAATTGAGACCAAAAGCCTTTAATATGCCAAAAATCAGGAGGTATAGTTATTTGGGGGGGCTATGCCAAATATTGGACCTACAAAAAAATTTTTTTTTTTCAAGGAAGTTAAGCTACTCACTGAGGAATCGAAATAAAAAAGTACAGCGGATTTGTTTAGATATTTGTGCCAAAATCTTTAATGTACCGAAAATCGGGAGGTGCAGTTATATGGGACCAATGCCAAAAAGTGGACCTACATTGAATATTTTTTCAAAGAATTTAAAATAACCTCTGGGGAAGTTTAATGCCAAATTAGAACTGATTTGGTTAGAAATTTGGTCTGAAAACCTTCAATATACCCAAAATCCGGAGGTACAGCTATAAAGGGCACATGCCAACAAATGGAGCAACATTGAATAAATTTTGCGAGGAGTTAAATTACCCATTGAGAATCCTTAGTGTAATATTACAACTAAATTGCTATGAAATTTTGGATGGAAATCTTCCAGATACTGAAAATCCGAAGGTACAGTTATATGGGACCTATGCCAGAATGTACCTACTTGAATATTTTTTGAAAGAAGTTAAGACCTCTATGAAAATAAAATTTTAATTTACAGCTGATTTGGTTAGAAAAATGTGCTGATATCACCAATAAACCGAAAATCAGGAGGTACATTCATATGGGGTATATGCCTGAAAGTGGAGCTGTATTTTATATTTTCTGCGAAGAGCTAATCTATCCTCCCAGAACCCTAAATATGAAATGACAGATGATTTTATTTGAAATGGGGGTTGAAAATCTTTCAGATACAGGGAATCGGAAGGTACAGTTATATGGGGACCATGCCCAAAATTGGACCTACATTAAATAATCGTTGCGAAAAGTTAACCTACCTACTGAGAAACCGAAATATCAAATTACAACTAATTCGGTTGGAAATTGAAGCTGAAACCCTCAATAACCTTCAATATAGAGGAGTTACAGTTATATGGGTCTACGTCGAAAAATGGGCCCACATTGATTTTTTTTTTGCGAGGAGTTAAGCTATCCACTGAAAGCCCTAAATGTGGGATAACAGCTTATTTGGTTGAAAATCGAGTCCGAAGTTGGGGTCTCCGAAGAATATTTATAGGTGTTCCAAAGGGAATCATAAATTATCGTATCACAGACCTTGAAAATATCCCTTAAATCATTTTCTTAAAGCATTTTCTTCGCCAAAAATGGACCTACTGAGACCCCGAATTGTGGAATAACAACGTATTTGGTAGAAAATCGAGGCTGAAATTGGGGTCTTCGAGGAATTTGGCTAGATGTTCCAAAGGGAATGACAAATTATGGTCTCACAGACCTTGAAAAATCTTCTAAAAAATTTTTAATTTTTTCTCTTATATGGGGAATGCCAAAAAATATACCTACTGTAACCTCTTAATGTGGAATAACAGCTTATTTCGTAGAAAATCGGACCTACATTTGGGATCTTCGAGGCCCGAAATTGGGGTCTCTGTGTAATATGCAAAGGTGTTCCAAACAGAATGACAAATTAAGGTCTGGGGGCTAAGCCAAAAAATTGACCTACTAAAATTAGGAAATGTGGAATAACAGCTTATTTGGTAGAAAATCGGTTCCGAAATTCGGGTATCCGAGGAATATGTCGAGCCTCACAGAACCAAAAAAATCTTAAACATTTTTAATTTCCCCTCTCATTCACTTTAATAGTTTCCGCCCAAAGATACTCACTCTGATATCTGGAAAGTTTCATTGAGACCACCTTCACCCTCCAGTATGGCCTCCAGCCGTCCAATGGTTCTCAATGGCAAATCATTAAAGGAATTGAATATTTGCAACTGGAATTGATGGGCACAGAATGGTTCCTCTTCCCTTGTCAAAAGATACAATTGGCCACGGCCGGAAGAACGATCCGCATAATAGCCCATATTACCACAGCGGGGTACACCTTCGGCTAGATCTTCATCATCCTGGGCACAGGGGAAACATTTGCCCTTTAAAAAGTCTTCATAACTGGCACAGGGAAAGGCGGGGAACAAGCACCTGGGCGCCACGGAATCAATGAAGAATTTATAGGCCCGGCGATGGTTGCACAGGGAACGGCCCTCTTCTTCCTCGGCCGTTTGGGCAGCTAAGGGAAATGGAAAATGCTTTTATTTCAAATTAATTTAAAAATTTCAAAAAACTTACACCAAATAAAATCAGTCACCGCTCCCACAAAGAGATTCGAACATCCTGTCTGGACCCTTCCTCCATTGGGGTAGAAATCAACATCACCCATAGGCTGCCAGGAGCCAAGACCACCCAAAATTAGATTTTCTCCATTCGAATGAATTACATCGACAAATTCCGCATCACTGCTATCCAAGCGGACCTTGGGATGTTGGGCCTCGAAGAGCGGACCGGCAGGATCCAGGCCTGTAATGCGAGCCAACCCCGGTAATTCGGCGCCAGCAAAGCCCGAAACATGGGCACCCAAACTAAATCCAATGATGTGAGTCTTGGCCAAATTCAGGCCCTTATAATCCTGTAAATTCTTCAAGAGCATGGCCAATTGTTTGCCCACCAGGCGGGTGTTTGTGGCAGCCCGCACATAATTGGGGAAGGTGGCACCATTCTCCCAGTCCACACAGATGACAATACAGTCTTCCTGTAAAACATCATTTCGTTTAAAATTTCAACTCAAAATCAAAATTATTTCCCAACTTACCACCGCCATCAGGGCCGTCTTCATTTCATAGATCCAAACATGAGGACATGCCGAGCCGAAACCATGCACAATCACCCTTACCGACATTTCATCGAAACCCTCCAAATCATCCAGGGTAATGGGTACCTTATGGAACGATGTTGTCTTCCTAACCGGCATAGCCGTTGTTGTTGGCTGTTCCGTTACCATCTCCGGATAATCTGTGCTATTCAAGCTACGCTTTCGATGATACGACTTCACGTTCTTAAAGGCATCTGTCATATTGAGGAAGGGCAACTCCATGAGAGGCCGTTCCGAACGATTTTTTGTCGAATAGAAAAAGAATTTCGTATTGATTTCCTGGGGCGGTGATGGCAACATTTCCAAATAGGCAAACGGCCCCGAGTCTTCGAAACAGCCCAGCTCATCGTAGCAGACACGTTTTGCCGAGGCTCGTTTTACTCTTCTCAAAAGAAAAAAGTGAGGTTAGATGGAATCTCCCTGAAAATGTCATTGAAATACTCACCTAGATCGTTTCTGCTTTAGTTTATAGAGTTCGTATTCCTTCAAGGACTCACGAACTGCTCTAACCAATTCCGAATGATTGGCATTGCTGTTGGCAAACTTACGATTGAGTATCTCATCGGGTGTTAGTAGGGATTCGGAATTTTCGTGGTTTTCTGAAAAAGTTGAGAAAAAGGAAAATTTAATGGATTTTTTCGGATATAAAATTCAAAATCGATCCCTCTTTATGTGGGGGAGGTACTAGAAGGAGTGGACCCATATATCCCATCTTCATACCACATCTTGTGTTGTTAGAAATATTGGGATGTGTCGAGTTTGAAAATAATCGGATGCCCATTTTGCGTTTTATAAACTTCATGGTTTTTCAAAATTTCGACCCCTTGTGGGGAAGGTACCAGAAGTAGGGCTCCATTCCATCCGTTCTTCATTCGAGATTTTGTGGTGGTATAAATATTGAGATTTACGAAATTTGAAGGCATTCGAACTCTTATTTCTCATTTTAAAAAAGCTAAAATTATTCAAAATTTTGACTATTTGTGGGGGGAGATACCAGAAGGAGTGTCCCGACATATTCTATCTTCCCACTTGGTCTTGTGTTAATAGAAATATTGGTATGTGCCAAGTTTGAAAATAATCAGATGCTCATTGCGCGTTTTATGAGCTTCATGGTTATTCAAAATATTGACCCCTTTTCGGGGGAGGTACCAGAAGGAGTGGATCGATATCTAGTACTAGAACGGTAAAAGGTACTAAATATGTAAATTGTATTTGAGGAAGCAGTAGATATAGAACTCTTAAATTCGGAATGAGGGTCACTGATGGTGTGTATGACAGATGTACCACAGTACTTTTGGAAATTCGTACTATAAGTGTGCGAAAAGTACTAAAATGTACTACATTTGGTACCATATGGTATCATGTGAACGGTTAAAGCTAAAAATATGGAATGGGAATCAAGATTGAGGATTAGAATCGATGCAAGGTGGTAGTTTTGGAAAAGCGTACTCATGTAAATGATAAGTACTAAACCGTACTAAATTTAGTACAATTTGAATATGCAGGGACGTGTGGAGCTGGAATCCGGAAATTTGAATTTAACATTACTGGTGACGTGTAGAAATGAGTTATGGAGGAAGTTTTCGAAATGTGTACTTATGTGCACGAAAAGTACTAAATGGTACTACTTTTGGGAGAATTTCGATTTGTGTGAACCAATAGAGCTGGAATTCTGAAATTTACAAAATATGATTGCAATTGTATTCTAGAACTGAGGAATGCAGTTAGTTTTGGAAATTCGTACTTTTTTGTACTAAATGGTTCTAAGCTTGGTGCAATTCAAATTTTGGGAGAATCGGTAGGTGTGAAATACTGAAATTTTGAATTTGGATTACTCTTGGGGTATGTAGTAAGTTTTAGAAATTCGTGCTTATCTGTACTAAATGGTACTAAATTTAGTACAATTTCAATTTTGGGACAACAAATCGAGTTAAAATCGTGAAATTTTTAAATACGATTTCATTTGGATTGTATGATGTAGGTATTTATGACAATTTGTACTTAAGCGTACTAAATGGTACCAGGATTGGTACAATTTGGATTTGGGCTGAACAAAGGAGCTGGTATCCTGAAATTTTAAAATAAGATACATAAGTGTAGGATATTCAGGTAGTTTTTCAAAATTTGTACTTATGTGAACGAAAAGTACTAAATGGTACTAAATTTGGTACAGTATCGATTTGGGTGAACCGATAGAGGTGGAATTCCAAAATTTAGATATACGATTACTATTGCATTCTAGAACAAATTTTTAGAAAATTCCTAATTATGGTACTAAATTTGGTACAATTTAAATTTTGGAAGAAAAAAAGAGTTGGAATGAAATATTAGGTATGTAGGTAATTTCGAAAATTTGTACTTTTGTGTACAAAAATGTACGGAATTTGGTACAATTCAAATTTATGGGAGAACCAGTAGAGTTGGTATCCTGAAATTTGGAAATTAAATTTCAATTGGATATGGGTAGTTATGGAAATGTATGCCTATGTGCAAAATGGTACTAAGTTTGGTACAATTTGGATTTGGGTGAACCATTAGAGCTGGTATCCTGAAATTTAGAAATGAGATTACTGTCGGAGTGTAGGATTGAAAATTTGTACCTATGTGTACTAAAATTAGTACAATTTGGGTTTGGGTGAACCCGATATAGCTGGAATCCTGTAATTAGGAAATAAAATTTCTATTGAATTGTATGATGCAGGTTGCTAGGGGAATTTGTACTAAATGGTGCTAAATTCAGAACAGTTGGGTTTAGAGCGAGCAGATGAAGTGAGAATTTTAAAATTATAGTATTGAATTTGAATTGGGATCCCTATTGGTGGAATGTTTGTAAGGAAGAGGTGGTTTTGGAAATGTTTCCTGCAAACGCACGAAAAGTACTAAGTAGTACTATATTTGGTACAATTGGGTATTGAGTGAACAAATAGTGATTAATATCAGAAATTTGGTATTAGGGTCGCTGTTCATGTGTAGCCTGGACATATGGAGGTGGTTTCGGTGATGTGTACTATACTTGTTCGAAACTTACTAAATGCTACTATATTCCGTACAATTTGGTTTTGGATGAACAGCAGAGTTTTAAATCTGAAATTTTGTAAAAGGGTCGCTATTCACATGTAGCCTAGATATATGGAGGTGGTTTGGGAATTGTGTACTTTAATTGTACGAAAAGTACTGAATGGTACTATATTTGGTATTGGCTGAAAGGCTCAAGATAAAAATCTGGTATTTGGTATTTAGATTACTGATGGTATCTGTGTTTGATATTTGGCAGTGGTGTTGAAATGTGTCCAATATTTGTACGAAAAGTACTAAATAGTACTAAATTTGGTATTGGCTGAAAGGGATAGAGCTAAGATTCTGAAATTTGATATAGATGTCACTGTTGGTATATGGAATTGTCGTATGGAGGGGGTTATGGAAATGTAGAGGGTGACAAAAAAAATGCAACAAAGTCAGAGACCATTATTCTCATATGTTCTAAAAATTTTATTAACTGAAGGCAAAAAAATGTCGGAAATAGCATCAAAAATTCCACGTTTGGTTCATAAAAATTATTTTCAAAAAAAATGGTTTAAAAAATACACGTTTGAGTCAACAAAATTATTTTCAAAAAATCCACGTTTGGTTCATAAAAATTATTTTCAAAAAAATTTGGTTTAAAAATTCTACGTTTGGTTCATAAAAATTATTTTCAAAAAAAATTGGTTTAAAAATTTTACGTTTGGTTCATAAAAATTATTTTCAAAAAAATTTGGTTTAAAAAATCCACGTTTGTTTCATAAAAATTATTTTCAAAAAAATTTGGTTTAAAAATCCACGTTTATTTCATTACTTTCAAAAAATTTGGTAAAAAATTTCTTGAAAATAGTTTTCAAACAATAATTATAAAAATCCATATTTGGTCCATAATAATTATTTCCCATAAATTTGATTTATCCACGTTTAGTTCATAAAAATTATTTTCAAAAAATTCACGTTTAATTTATGAAAATTATTTTCTAAACATTTGGATTAAAAAATCCACGCTTAGATCATAAAAATTATCTCAAAAAATTCACGTTTAATTTATGAAAATTATTTTCAAAACATTTGGTTTAAAAAATCCACGTTTGGGTCAACAAAATTAATTTAAAAAATTGACTTAAAAGATCACGTTTGCTTCATCAAAATTATTTTTAAAATATTTGGTTTCAAAAAACCAACGTTTGGTTCGTAAAAATTATTTTTAAAAAATTTGGTTTAAAAATTAAATGTTTACTTCATGAAAATTATTTTCAAAAAATGTGATTAAAAATCAACGTCAAATTTATGAAAATTATTTTCAAAAAAAATGGTTAAAGTAATTATAGTTTATTTCATGAAAGTTATTTTCAAAATATTTTTTTTTAAAAATCCACATTTATTTCATTAAAATTATTGTGAAAAAAATTAAAATATAAAATTATTTAAAAAGAAAAATTAAAAAAAAAATTGAAAATTTATTCGAAAAATCTTTCTTAACAATTCACGATTGGATTATGAAAAAAATTCAAAAATTTAAAGACAGTTCGGTCCTTGAAAATTTATCTTAATCATCTCTTAAAAAACCTCTTGTTTAATCCTTAAAAATCGGTTCAATATCTGTTAAAAATGTATGTTTGGTCCTTGAAAATATTTGTAAAAAAATCTTGATATTGGTTCTTGAATTTTTTTTTCGGAAATACCAATTTTCGTTTTTAAAAACCTTCACGTTTGGTCCTTAAAAAAACTTTTCAAAAATTCCACAATTAACCCTTGAAAAACGGTTCTGAAAACGCACATTAGATCCTTGAAAACATGTCTAAAAAATCATCCTTTGGTCCCTGAAAAAAATGGAAATTCCAAGTTAAGCCATTGAAAAAACTATTCACAAAAAACAGTTTTATCCTTGAAAAAATCAGTTTCAAAAATCCACATTTGATCCTTGAAACAATCATTTTAAAAAATCCACATTTGATCCTTGAAAAAATCATTTTAAAAAATCCACGTTTGATCCTTGAAAAAATCAGTTTAAAAAATCCACGTTTGATCCTTGAAAAAATCAGTTTAAAAAATCCACGTTTGATCCTTGAAAAAATCAGTTTAAAAAATCCACGTTTAATCCTTGAAAAAGTCAGTTTAAAAAATCCACGTTTAATCCTTGAAAAAATCAGTTAAAAAAATCCATGTTTAATCCTTGAAAAAATCAGTTTAAAAAATCCACGTTTGGTCCTTGAAAAAATCAGTTCAAAAAATCCACGTTTGGTCCTTGAAAAAATCATTTTAAAAAAATCCACTATTGATCCATGAAAAAATCATTTAAAAAAATCCAAGTTGGGTCCTTGAAAAAATCATTTTAAAAAATCCAAGTTTGGTCCTTGAAAAAATCATTTTAAAAAAATCCACTATTGATCCATGAAAAAATCATTTAAAAAAATCCAAGTTGGGTCCTTGAAAAAATCATTTTAAAAAATCCAAGTTTGGTCCTTGAAAAAATCTGTTTAAAAAAATCCACGTTTGGTCCTTGAAAAAATCTGTTTAAAAAAATCCACGTTTGGTCCTTGAAAAAATCAGTTTAAAAAATCCACGTTTGGTCCTTGAAAAAATCAGTTTAAAAAAATCCACGTTTGATCCTTGAAAAAATCATTTTAAAAAATCCACGTTTGATTGTTAAAAAAATCAATTTAAAAAATCCACGTTTGATTGTTAAAAAAATCAATTTAAAAAATTCAAGTTTGATCCTTGAAAAAATCAGTTTAAAAAATCCACGTTTAATCCTTGAAATAATCATTTTAAAAAATCCACGTTAAAAACATTAGTTTAAAAAATCCACGTTTGATCCTTGAAAAAATCAGTTTAAAAAAATCCACGTTTGATCCTTGAAAAAATCAGTTTAAAAAAATCCACGTTTGATCCTTGAAAAAATCAGTTTAAAAAAATCCACGTTTGATCCTTGAAAAAATCAGTTTAAAAAATCCACGTTAAAAACATTAGTTTGATCCTTGAAAAAATCATTTTAAAAAATCCACGTTTGATCCTTGAAAAAATCATTTTAAAAAATCCACGTTTGATCCTTGAAAAAATCATTTTAAAAAATCCGCGTTTGGTCCTTGATGAAATCAGTTTAAAAAAATCTACGTTTGATCCTTGAAAAAATCAGTTTAAAAAATCCACGTTTGATCCTTGAAAAAATCAGTTAAAAAAAACACATTTGTTCCTTGAAAATATCAATTAAAAAAACACGTTTGGTCCTTGAGAAAATCAGTTTAAAAAATCCACGTTTGAATCAGATTAAAAAATCCACGTTGATCCTTAAAAAAATCAGTTTAAAAAATCCACATGTGATCCTTGAAAAAGTCCATGTTTGATGCTTGAAAAAGTCCATGTTTAATCCTTGAAAAAATCAGTTTAAAAAAATCCACATTTGGTTTTGATCCTTGAAAAAATCAGTTTAAAAAAATCCACATTTGGTTTTGATCCTTGAAAAAATCAGTTTAAAAAAATCCACATTTGGTTTTGATCCTTGAAAAAATCAGTTAAAAAATCCACGTTTGATCCTTGAAAAAATCAGTTAAAAAATCCACGTTTGATCCTTGAAAAAATCAGTTAAAAAATCCACGTTTGATCCTTGAAAAAATCATTTTAAAAAATCCACGTTTGATCCTTGAAAAAATCATTTTAAAAAATCCACGTTTGATCCTTGAAAAAATCAGTTTAAAAAATCCACGTTTTGTTTGGATCCTTAAAAAATCAGTTTAAAAAAATCCACGTTTTGTTTGGATCCTTAAAAAATCAGTTTAAAAAAATCCACGTTTGATCCTTGAAAATATCATTTTAAAAAATCCACGTTTGATCCCTGAAAAAACCAGTTTGGTCCACGTTTGGTACTTGAAAGAATCATTTTAAAATATCCACATTTGATCCTTGAAAAAAATCATTTAAAAAAATCCACGTTTGATCCTTGAAAAACCCAGTTTGGTCCACGTTTGGTCCTTGAAAAAATTAGTTAGAAATCCACGTTTGGTCCTTGAAAAAATCAATTGAAAAATCACGTTTGATCCTTGAAAAATTAGTTAAAAATCCACGTTTAGTCCTTGAAAAACACAGTTTAAACAATCCACATTTGATCCTAGAAAAAAATTAGTTCCTCAAGAAAATCTGAAAACTTAACTCTGGTATGGTCATTTAAAATCCACATTTGAATAAAAATTCTTCCATTGTGTTACTATATATTTATGTATATACTTATATACAAAATTCATTTATTAAAAAAAGAAACATATATACACAAGGTTTACATAAATAAATACTTAAGGGCTAGGTATGTTTAAAATTATTCCAAGGGTAAAATTAGAAAAAAAAATATTTAAAAAATTTAAAAATATAACACGGTTTGATCGGTTTACAAAATATTGTTGTCCGTTGGTGGAACCAGGTCTGGGAGTTTCAAGTTAGATAAAACCAAAGTTTTTTATAAAATCGATATCCCACTTTGGTGTTTTTTAATATCAATGCTATACCCCTCTTAACCCCCCAGTCCCCCTGGACAACTCAGTTTCCATTAAAATGTCCCCTTTTTGTTCTAGGTATATCACATATAATTCTCTTGGTTTTTCCCATCTCTGTAATGGTTCCTATGGATCCAACTGCCTGGCAGTCCCGTCCATAGTTTCGAATGGAAAATTCCTGTCTTCTATGATTTTTTTAAATTCGATCTGCTTAGATACGTTGTAAAGAATGCCGCCCGGGCTGTGCGGGCCCTGGGTGGCCTGTATGTGGGTAAATCTATAAAAACTGGCTCATAATCGGGATTTTCCGGTTTCAAGGCCCGTGATTCAGTCATTACTATATTTGTGTAATATGTTGGGGAGTCTTGTGACTCCTCTGCAATCTGCTCCACCTGAGGAGTGGCCACAACCCCTGCCGGCCTGAGGAGGGCGAATATATTTCTCTGTTCCCGTTGTGACTCTGAGTTGGCACGTTTCCTTTTCTGGGCAGTGCTAGAAAGTGCCCGTTCCTCAAAACGTGGTATGTAGCGGGGTTTACGTGTTTCCGATTTAACAACCTCTGGATTTGCGGGGCCCACATTGAAACCAAAGAAACGTGGTGCCTGTACCGATATCAAGGGTAAAATTGTTTCTCTGGCATAACGTTCGGCCCTTTGCAATAACTCCCCCAAACGGAAGGGGAACAATTGCACCGTCACTGTCTCCTCTTCGGCATTGGATTTGGGTCTCTCCTGTTTGTTGAGAGGGGATATTTTTATAATCTCGAATTTATCCGGCCTATCTGTTATGGGTTGGGGTTCCGGCAAAATGATTTCCTTGCCTTTCTTGACTCTGGGTGTGGTGGCCTTCAGTACCGGCTCCATAATTTCACCCACCCCCGTGAAATCATTTAAATTACGACCTCGATTGACATTCAAACGTCTATCGTTCAGTATGGGTTCGAAAATTTCCTCTGGCTGCTCGGAAAAACTGCGACTTGTCTCTCCCTGTTCCTTATCCAAGGAGTTACCCTCCAATATGGGTTGCCATGGCAAATCTCCATTTTCCTCCAGGGTGAAAGTTTGATTTTCACCCAGCTTAAAACTGGAACCCAAGTTGAGGAAATTCTTGTGCTTCTTAATGGTCTCAATGGCATCGGCATCTGCCTCGGGTGCCTGTACACTTTCCTGGGCAGTGGAGTCGGCAGGTCCTTCGGTTATGGGTTTTGAGGTAAACGCTCCATATTCATCTTGATTGTCTAGCTCACAATTGCCGGGTTGTAGCTTCAAGCGCACCGGACTGCCTGTGGAGAGTTTGGTATTGGGTTTACACAGGGAATGGCTACGTCCATAGCTGTCGGTTAGGATTACTTTGTCTATATCCCAATGGGGTAGACCCTTGGAGAGCCAGCCGCTATAGTGTTTGTAGTTTAGGCTTAGGGTGGTTGGAAAGCCCAGAGCTGGATGAGGCACGATTATTTTTGAGACTATGTCACCGGCAAAGAATTCCGAATCGTCTTTTCTGAAAATTAAGAAAAAAATGAGAGATTATTAAAATTTGGATTTTTTTGAAGAAAAATCAGAGGTTTAAGAATCCGTACAATTTTGAAGATCCGTTATACAGGGGCTATACCTATAGTGCCTTGTTTATAGCCTTCACCATACACAGTGTGGCAAGGTCCCTACATTCGGTATTTTGATGATATTAGCAACATTTTTCAATGAGAATTGTATCTATGCCAGATATATTGTCTGTGGAGGTCCAGGTCTTTGTGTAGGTCCCATTTATCAGTACCTCCTTATATTAGGTATTTTAACGATTTTAGGTACAATGTCCACCGAAGTTGTTTAAAATTTCGTATTTAGAATTAGTAATGGGTACTACAGCCTATGACAGAAAATTGTCTATGCAGGTACAGGTCATCGCATAGGCCCCATATATCAATACCTCCCTATATTCGGTATTTTGGAGGAATCGAAATAAAAAATTTCACTTGATTTGTTTATAAATTGGTGCTGAAATCTTTAATATTTTGAAAATCGGAAGGCATAGTTATATGGGACCTATGCCAAAAAGTGGACCTACATTGAATATATTTTGCGAAGAGTTAAACCACCTACCGAGAACCTCAAATATGAAATTACAATTGATTTGGCTTCAAATTGAGACCAAAAGCCTTTAATATGCCAAAAATCAGGAGGTATAGTTATTTGGGGGGGCTATGCCAAATATTGGACCTACAAAAAAATTTTTTTTTTTCAAGGAAGTTAAGCTACTCACTGAGGAATCGAAATAAAAAAGTACAGCGGATTTGTTTAGATATTTGTGCCAAAATCTTTAATGTACCGAAAATCGGGAGGTGCAGTTATATGGGACCAATGCCAAAAAGTGGACCTACATTGAATATTTTTTCAAAGAATTTAAAATAACCTCTGGGGAAGTTTAATGCCAAATTAGAACTGATTTGGTTAGAAATTTGGTCTGAAAACCTTCAATATACCCAAAATCCGGAGGTACAGCTATAAAGGGCACATGCCAACAAATGGAGCAACATTGAATAAATTTTGCGAGGAGTTAAATTACCCATTGAGAATCCTTAGTGTAATATTACAACTAAATTGCTATGAAATTTTGGATGGAAATCTTCCAGATACTGAAAATCCGAAGGTACAGTTATATGGGACCTATGCCAGAATGTACCTACTTGAATATTTTTTGAAAGAAGTTAAGACCTCTATGAAAATAAAATTTTAATTTACAGCTGATTTGGTTAGAAAAATGTGCTGATATCACCAATAAACCGAAAATCAGGAGGTACATTCATATGGGGTATATGCCTGAAAGTGGAGCTGTATTTTATATTTTCTGCGAAGAGCTAATCTATCCTCCCAGAACCCTAAATATGAAATGACAGATGATTTTATTTGAAATGGGGGTTGAAAATCTTTCAGATACAGGGAATCGGAAGGTACAGTTATATGGGGACCATGCCCAAAATTGGACCTACATTAAATAATCGTTGCGAAAAGTTAACCTACCTACTGAGAAACCGAAATATCAAATTACAACTAATTCGGTTGGAAATTGAAGCTGAAACCCTCAATAACCTTCAATATAGAGGAGTTACAGTTATATGGGTCTACGTCGAAAAATGGGCCCACATTGATTTTTTTTTGCGAGGAGTTAAGCTATCCACTGAAAGCCCTAAATGTGGGATAACAGCTTATTTGGTTGAAAATCGAGTCCGAAGTTGGGGTCTCCGAAGAATATTTATAGGTGTTCCAAAGGGAATCATAAATTATCGTATCACAGACCTTGAAAATATCCCTTAAATCATTTTCTTAAAGCATTTTCTTCGCCAAAAATGGACCTACTGAGACCCCGAATTGTGGAATAACAACGTATTTGGTAGAAAATCGAGGCTGAAATTGGGGTCTTCGAGGAATTTGGCTAGATGTTCCAAAGGGAATGACAAATTATGGTCTCACAGACCTTGAAAAATCTTCTAAAAAATTTTTAATTTTTTCTCTTATATGGGGAATGCCAAAAAATATACCTACTGTAACCTCTTAATGTGGAATAACAGCTTATTTCGTAGAAAATCGGACCTACATTTGGGATCTTCGAGGCCCGAAATTGGGGTCTCTGTGTAATATGCAAAGGTGTTCCAAACAGAATGACAAATTAAGGTCTGGGGGCTAAGCCAAAAAATTGACCTACTAAAATTAGGAAATGTGGAATAACAGCTTATTTGGTAGAAAATCGGTTCCGAAATTCGGGTATCCGAGGAATATGTCGAGCCTCACAGAACCAAAAAAATCTTAAACATTTTTAATTTCCCCTCTCATTCACTTTAATAGTTTCCGCCCAAAGATACTCACTCTGATATCTGGAAAGTTTCATTGAGACCACCTTCACCCTCCAGTATGGCCTCCAGCCGTCCAATGGTTCTCAATGGCAAATCATTAAAGGAATTGAATATTTGCAACTGGAATTGATGGGCACAGAATGGTTCCTCTTCCCTTGTCAAAAGATACAATTGGCCACGGCCGGAAGAACGATCCGCATAATAGCCCATATTACCACAGCGGGGTACACCTTCGGCTAGATCTTCATCATCCTGGGCACAGGGGAAACATTTGCCCTTTAAAAAGTCTTCATAACTGGCACAGGGAAAGGCGGGGAACAAGCACCTGGGCGCCACGGAATCAATGAAGAATTTATAGGCCCGGCGATGGTTGCACAGGGAACGGCCCTCTTCTTCCTCGGCCGTTTGGGCAGCTAAGGGAAATGGAAAATGCTTTTATTTCAAATTAATTTAAAAATTTCAAAAAACTTACACCAAATAAAATCAGTCACCGCTCCCACAAAGAGATTCGAACATCCTGTCTGGACCCTTCCTCCATTGGGGTAGAAATCAACATCACCCATAGGCTGCCAGGAGCCAAGACCACCCAAAATTAGATTTTCTCCATTCGAATGAATTACATCGACAAATTCCGCATCACTGCTATCCAAGCGGACCTTGGGATGTTGGGCCTCGAAGAGCGGACCGGCAGGATCCAGGCCTGTAATGCGAGCCAACCCCGGTAATTCGGCGCCAGCAAAGCCCGAAACATGGGCACCCAAACTAAATCCAATGATGTGAGTCTTGGCCAAATTCAGGCCCTTATAATCCTGTAAATTCTTCAAGAGCATGGCCAATTGTTTGCCCACCAGGCGGGTGTTTGTGGCAGCCCGCACATAATTGGGGAAGGTGGCACCATTCTCCCAGTCCACACAGATGACAATACAGTCTTCCTGTAAAACATCATTTCGTTTAAAATTTCAACTCAAAATCAAAATTATTTCCCAACTTACCACCGCCATCAGGGCCGTCTTCATTTCATAGATCCAAACATGAGGACATGCCGAGCCGAAACCATGCACAATCACCCTTACCGACATTTCATCGAAACCCTCCAAATCATCCAGGGTAATGGGTACCTTATGGAACGATGTTGTCTTCCTAACCGGCATAGCCGTTGTTGTTGGCTGTTCCGTTACCATCTCCGGATAATCTGTGCTATTCAAGCTACGCTTTCGATGATACGACTTCACGTTCTTAAAGGCATCTGTCATATTGAGGAAGGGCAACTCCATGAGAGGCCGTTCCGAACGATTTTTTGTCGAATAGAAAAAGAATTTCGTATTGATTTCCTGGGGCGGTGATGGCAACATTTCCAAATAGGCAAACGGCCCCGAGTCTTCGAAACAGCCCAGCTCATCGTAGCAGACACGTTTTGCCGAGGCTCGTTTTACTCTTCTCAAAAGAAAAAAGTGAGGTTAGATGGAATCTCCCTGAAAATGTCATTGAAATACTCACCTAGATCGTTTCTGCTTTAGTTTATAGAGTTCGTATTCCTTCAAGGACTCACGAACTGCTCTAACCAATTCCGAATGATTGGCATTGCTGTTGGCAAACTTACGATTGAGTATCTCATCGGGTGTTAGTAGGGATTCGGAATTTTCGTGGTTTTCTGAAAAAGTTGAGAAAAAGGAAAATTTAATGGATTTTTTCGGATATAAAATTCAAAATCGATCCCTCTTTATGTGGGGGAGGTACTAGAAGGAGTGGACCCATATATCCCATCTTCATACCACATCTTGTGTTGTTAGAAATATTGGGATGTGTCGAGTTTGAAAATAATCGGATGCCCATTTTGCGTTTTATAAACTTCATGGTTTTTCAAAATTTCGACCCCTTGTGGGGAAGGTACCAGAAGTAGGGCTCCATTCCATCCGTTCTTCATTCGAGATTTTGTGGTGGTATAAATATTGAGATTTACGAAATTTGAAGGCATTCGAACTCTTATTTCTCATTTTAAAAAAGCTAAAATTATTCAAAATTTTGACTATTTGTGGGGGGAGATACCAGAAGGAGTGTCCCGACATATTCTATCTTCCCACTTGGTCTTGTGTTAATAGAAATATTGGTATGTGCCAAGTTTGAAAATAATCAGATGCTCATTGCGCGTTTTATGAGCTTCATGGTTATTCAAAATATTGACCCCTTTTCGGGGGAGGTACCAGAAGGAGTGGATCGATATCTAGTACTAGAACGGTAAAAGGTACTAAATATGTAAATTGTATTTGAGGAAGCAGTAGATATAGAACTCTTAAATTCGGAATGAGGGTCACTGATGGTGTGTATGACAGATGTACCACAGTACTTTTGGAAATTCGTACTATAAGTGTGCGAAAAGTACTAAAATGTACTACATTTGGTACCATATGGTATCATGTGAACGGTTAAAGCTAAAAATATGGAATGGGAATCAAGATTGAGGATTAGAATCGATGCAAGGTGGTAGTTTTGGAAAAGCGTACTCATGTAAATGATAAGTACTAAACCGTACTAAATTTAGTACAATTTGAATATGCAGGGACGTGTGGAGCTGGAATCCGGAAATTTGAATTTAACATTACTGGTGACGTGTAGAAATGAGTTATGGAGGAAGTTTTCGAAATGTGTACTTATGTGCACGAAAAGTACTAAATGGTACTACTTTTGGGAGAATTTCGATTTGTGTGAACCAATAGAGCTGGAATTCTGAAATTTACAAAATATGATTGCAATTGTATTCTAGAACTGAGGAATGCAGTTAGTTTTGGAAATTCGTACTTTTTTGTACTAAATGGTTCTAAGCTTGGTGCAATTCAAATTTTGGGAGAATCGGTAGGTGTGAAATACTGAAATTTTGAATTTGGATTACTCTTGGAGTATAGGATTGGGGTATGTAGTAAGTTTTAGAAATTCGTGCTTATCTGTACTAAATGGTACTAAATTTAGTACAATTTCAATTTTGGGACAACAAATCGAGTTAAAATCGTGAAATTTTTAAATACGATTTCATTTGGATTGTATGATGTAGGTATTTATGACAATTTGTACTTAAGCGTACTAAATGGTACCAGGATTGGTACAATTTGGATTTGGGCTGAACAAAGGAGCTGGTATCCTGAAATTTTAAAATAAGATACATAAGTGTAGGATATTCAGGTAGTTTTTCAAAATTTGTACTTATGTGAACGAAAAGTACTAAATGGTACTAAATTTGGTACAGTATCGATTTGGGTGAACCGATAGAGGTGGAATTCCAAAATTTAGATATACGATTACTATTGCATTCTAGAACAAATTTTTAGAAAATTCCTAATTATGGTACTAAATTTGGTACAATTTAAATTTTGGAAGAAAAAAAGAGTTGGAATGAAATATTAGGTATGTAGGTAATTTCGAAAATTTGTACTTTTGTGTACAAAAATGTACGGAATTTGGTACAATTCAAATTTATGGGAGAACCAGTAGAGTTGGTATCCTGAAATTTGGAAATTAAATTTCAATTGGATATGGGTAGTTATGGAAATGTATGCCTATGTGCAAAATGGTACTAAGTTTGGTACAATTTGGATTTGGGTGAACCATTAGAGCTGGTATCCTGAAATTTAGAAATGAGATTACTGTCGGAGTGTAGGATTGAAAATTTGTACCTATGTGTACTAAAATTAGTACAATTTGGGTTTGGGTGAACCCGATATAGCTGGAATCCTGTAATTAGGAAATAAAATTTCTATTGAATTGTATGATGCAGGTTGCTAGGGGAATTTGTACTAAATGGTGCTAAATTCAGAACAGTTGGGTTTAGAGCGAGCAGATGAAGTGAGAATTTTAAAATTATAGTATTGAATTTGAATTGGGATCCCTATTGGTGGAATGTTTGTAAGGAAGAGGTGGTTTTGGAAATGTTTCCTGCAAACGCACGAAAAGTACTAAGTAGTACTATATTTGGTACAATTGGGTATTGAGTGAACAAATAGTGATTAATATCAGAAATTTGGTATTAGGGTCGCTGTTCATGTGTAGCCTGGACATATGGAGGTGGTTTCGGTGATGTGTACTATACTTGTTCGAAACTTACTAAATGCTACTATATTCCGTACAATTTGGTTTTGGATGAACAGCAGAGTTTTAAATCTGAAATTTTGTAAAAGGGTCGCTATTCACATGTAGCCTAGATATATGGAGGTGGTTTGGGAATTGTGTACTTTAATTGTACGAAAAGTACTGAATGGTACTATATTTGGTATTGGCTGAAAGGCTCAAGATAAAAATCTGGTATTTGGTATTTAGATTACTGATGGTATCTGTGTTTGATATTTGGCAGTGGTGTTGAAATGTGTCCAATATTTGTACGAAAAGTACTAAATAGTACTAAATTTGGTATTGGCTGAAAGGGATAGAGCTAAGATTCTGAAATTTGATATAGATGTCACTGTTGGTATATGGAATTGTCGTATGGAGGGGGTTATGGAAATGTAGAGGGTGACAAAAAAAATGCAACAAAGTCAGAGACCATTATTCTCATATGTTCTAAAAATTTTATTAACTGAAGGCAAAAAAATGTCGGAAATAGCATCAACATTTAAAATAAGATTAGATTTGTTCGAATTGGTCAACTTTGGCACGAATTGTGGCCTTCGAATGGCCAATGAAACCGTCACACGCTGCCCGAATGTTGCTCTCCGGTATTTTGGCCCATTCCCGGCAAAGCGCTTGCTTGAGGTAATCGACAATTTGGTATTTTTTAGTGCCAACCTTGCTTTCCAAAATACTCCTGACACAATAGTCCAACGGATTGGTATCCGGAGATTTTGGTGGCCATTGTGCGCTGGAAATGAAGCGAGAAACCTCATTTTGTAACCATTCTTGGGTGACGCGTGCTGAGTGCGATGGTGCTGAGTCCTGTTGGAATGTCCAAGGTCTGCGGCCAAAATTTGTGAGTGCCCAACGCTTTAATACACCCTCCAGAATATTTTCGCGTTAATATTCGGCATTTATTCTGATGCAACGATAAATTAATACGAACGGTGAGCGACCATCGACTGTTATGGCGGCCCACACCATCACCATGGCCAGCGCTTGAGTTCTGGTGGCCAACCTATGGTGCACATTTTCATCTGTCCTCTTTGGCAAGTAAACACGATCATTTTGTTTGTTTACAAACTGCTGGACAACGAATGTTTTCTCATCGGAGAGAGAGAAAACCAAATTCGGCAGTTCACCACTTTTGGCCAAGCGAAGCAACACTTTAGCTCTTTTGAGTCTATTATCTTTCTGTTGCGGTGTAAGTTCATGCACTTTTTGGAATTTCAATGACTTTACCCCGAGCTCATTTTTCAATATTTGCCGAATGGAATATTGCCATATGTTCAGGCCACGAGCCATTTTTCGGCCACTGTGACGCGGACTTCGGTCAAGTCGCTTTTTTACTCTTCGAACAATTTCTTCCGTCCACTTCCTTGACGTCGGGCTACGCTACCAGTATCACGGTAACGATCGATGGTACTAGACCCAAAAATAAATCTTTTAAATGCTGGAGTGCTCTAACGATAGCCTCTTGAGGTTTTCCAGCCAAATCACACGATCACGCTTGAATTCCATCAGGAATAACTTTTTTCTGGAAAATTCTCACCAAAATGACTGTCACTGGAATAATTTTAACGGCTGTCGGACGAGTGATTTTGAAATGACAACAGTCTGAAATTGGTTGCAGTTCTTTCATCTCATCCTGTACTTTGTTATGTTTAAAATTATTATTTTGATGAGTTACAAACGGAATAACGAACTTAATATGCTCTCCATACAAAGTAGGGTGGAGGCTATAAATAATATCAAAATAGGAATATCAAAAATCCGTGGGTCTTAGAAATAAATATTCTAATTTTCACTATTCCTCCCCTTCTCCAAAAAATTAAATGTACACCAACCTCGTAACCCTCCACTCACTTAGTTATGCTTTATATTCCACGATACTCTTATTATCCAAAGCATAAAGTAGAAGAATAACAATAACAACAAAAACAACAGCAACAACCAACTACCGCATCATTAAATTTTGTTGGAGCGTTAATTAGCCTAGCCTAGCTTAGCTTAGCTTGGCTTACAATGGCCATTGTGGAGTAGAGTATAGGAAGAGTTTCAGCCAAGCGAATACCATCCCCCACCACCGAAATGAACGCCAAACATTCAAGAGGTTGGAAGACTAGGTGACGGTGTCACTACAAAATGATTTAATGCGCCACCCAATTAATTGTAAAAAACTCAAAACTACCGTTGTAATATTTAGGCCCTATTATTTTGGCGGAAAGGGATTACGCTGTTGTTAGTGTTGTTGTTTGTCTATTAAAGTGGCAAAGTGTGAGATGCATTTTTATGACTTGGATTTTTTTTAATTTTACTTTTTAATTAAAAAAATAACTGGCGAGTGAGAGAGTGACGGTGACAGACATTTATGGAGATTGTAAATTTAAATTAAAACAAGTAAAATAGTATCAGTCGGTTTTGCCGACAGATGTATACCCTCAGCCTTGAGTTACGAACGTGACAGATTTGGACTATATCGACTACTTCTTGTACTTTATATGAGGTATGTGCACCTTTTCGGAAAATGGAAATATGCGTCAGGTAACAGATACA